ATTTTAATCGAGTTAGAGTTTTATATAATAGGTATTAATTAATTGAACCAGATGGAGTTTTATATACACTCATAAAGTTAATTGCGTTTGTAAGCTAATTAATCATCATTATCTTCTCTGATGGGAGCGAGTGACGAGTGAGAGAGGGTTATTAATATGATTTGTCTTTTGTTGTTTGCCTAATTTTATTTATTTTATTTTATTTTGTGTTTTTGTTTTTGTTTTTGATGGGCACATGATTTATGATCATCTCACTGTTTTGGATGGTCAAGCTAAGCAACTTCCACAACTCCACATGAACATGACGACTCTCCATATAATATTTGGTTTTATTTATTTAAGAAATACCAAAAGTAGTAATAATTAACTCTCGGTCAGTAGTTAGGAATAGTTTGTAAACTAATTGTTAATATAACTATAAAGTCAAAGTTTGCGTTAACTTTCTCTAAGAGTTAAATTCTGTCGGTGCAACTCAGACTAAACCCGATTTAGTCTACAATGGTGAGAATAGTGCTAAAAGAGAGGATGTTGTTTATTATGGTATGTTATTGAATTGAGGCCAATCGTATCCATTGCTGGAAATTATGGAATTTCCGACCACCTGAAAGTGATCTGAAATCAAGTTAAAAGCCTTGTTCCAATCACTTTTGGTATCCGAAAAAACATTTGTTACTATTTCACACCACTTTTTACTTTCGACTTGATTCAAGATATTTTCAAGTGGTCGGAAATTCCATAATTTCTAGCAGTGATCCCAGGCAAATTGGTAAAAGACTTAGTAATCATAAGGTTTCAATTTCAAATAATCTCAGTAAGAGTTGTCCGTTGATCTTCTTATTTTGAGTTGATCACACTTTCAGGTAATGATTATGAATTTTTTATAAATCAAAATGGTATGCCATTGAATTGATGTGTTGAGAGGTCCAAATAATGCAGCAAAGAATAAAGAAACCCATGTTTGGTAAGGAAAGAGAAACCTAAAAAAGGGGAAAAGCAACTTTAAACAAACATGGCCTCATGGTTAGCTAGCTTAGTTACTATTTATTAATTTGTTCACTTCTAATAATCATCAATAAAATAACGTAGTAATAATAATGTATCTAAAGTAAAAGGTTTAGTTACAAGTAGGGTTTTGTCATTACCATGTGCTATTCCTTCAAAAATGCAAACAATTCATGCATAGTTCAATCATCCTAGTCACCCAAAAAATAAATAAATAAAAATTAACCACCACCTTATACATGAATCACTACTCGAGTATTGAATAAACTTTGCCAGACAACCTAGCCGGTAAAGAACTACAGGTAAACAACCTAAGTTGTCAACAACTAATCTGCTCGAACTAAGAAGCTAGGTCAATACACTGCTCTTATTAGAATTGAAGTCGAATTTGAAACTTTGTGGTTATCAAGTCAACATCTTTATCAACTTAATTAACAGGGTTCTCCAAACTCCACATTATTAGTATTATATTTCACCTTAGTTGTGCGTGCAAACATGAATGCTAACTAAACGAAAATTCTTAACAAGGAGGCAGTTCAATATAGTATAATTAATTAAAATGAATCATATGCCAATTAAAAAGAAAAAAATTTATAAAAAAAATGAAAACGTTGCAATGATTGTTTGGGGCCGGTTGGAATTGACTCGTTATTGTGTGTTGTGTAGTCGTTAAAAGTTTTGTTGTGTTTGAAGAAATTGGGTGAGTTGGTAAAGTGCCTTAAAACTATTCTCAAAAGACACATACATAACAGACTATAGATACCAAAGGACAGGCCAAATAAGGTATTACTCTTACCCACATATTCTTTAGTTTTTTTTTTTTTTTTTTTCTTTTTTTAGATCTACAAAACACACACACATTATTTCCTCTTTCTTGTCAAGCAAACTCTACTTTTATATTCATAATAATTATAATAATTTATGAAATTTTTTTAAGGTGTCGATATTGATTTTTGAATTGGTATGAATACGTACGATAAGAACAAAAGTTGACGGTACCTATTACAACCCAAAATTATATATAGTTGTACCAAATGTAAATTGTACTAGTATTGATCGGCATTACAACATTTTTCGTAATTTTTATTATATATGTTTTAAGGGAAGACTTTAGTGTCTTTTACCCTAGTATTGTGTTGCAGGGAGGCCATGGGGAAGAGAATTTTAGAAGAAACGAATCACGTACATTTCTCCTTTCTCTTTTCAACTACTTCATATGAACAAGATCATAAGAACGGGTGTGAGACAGATCTCGAATATGTCTTTTAGTTCACTCGAGACTGCCTTACACAAGACTATGCATCTGGAACAAAGGCTGAGGCATGTACAAGATATGAGTACGTAACAGGTTCGATTGAGAGAGTGTTGAAAAGAATTAAATTTGTAATCTTCTGATATAAAAATCATGTTTCACCTACACGGTTACCCCTTTTGGGGCATGTCAAGTATGATTTGATACTGTAAGTGTTGTTGTAAAACTCCCAATAATCTGAATATTATTAATAGCAAAAGATCGATAAGCTAAGGCAGGTTTAGGCAGCTGCAAACACCTGGAAAGTTGAAGCCAAATGATTATGGATGGTCATAATCTTAATTAGACTCAAAAGAGTCAAATTAATGGGGCAATTATTAAACCAATTTAGGGAGAAGATAGAATACAATATAATATGAATATTAATTAATTATTTAATAGATGTAGTTAAACTATGATTTGAAACAGTTTGATAACATGTGAGAAAGTAGAAAAGGGGAAAAAGATCATGTGATTGTTTGAGAAAACCACATGGATCATCGGCCTTAAACAAACCAATCCAAGAATAATGCCAGTAAAGTAAATTAAAGCTAAGCTAGCTAGGGTTTGATGAGGCTGCTTGATCTTGTCTGCACGAGCAGTTCAATTAGTACTCAAGTACGTAATAAATTATCAATAAGAACGCATTATTGAAACTTGACAACCATCCTATCTTGTCAGAATTACACACAATATTGTTCGCACGGGCTTAACTCACTAGTTCAGTATGCAGTATTTGAAAAAGAGACCAATGTTCGAACCTCAGCAGCGACAGTATGGGAATTATGCCCAATGTGAACAGATCTCTTGGACGCATCGGCATTTGACCCTGTTTGCTGAGCCCAATGTGAACAGATCCCTTAAACGCACCGACATTTGACCATGTTTTACATCCTCCTAAATGCTCAATCAGACCAGAGTAAACACTGGTATTCTCACCTAAAATGTCATTAAATCATCAGCTTTACTCCTCCACTATCTTATTAAACAGGACCTTTTGTGAGCAAGGTTGCTTAATCTTAATGCACTCACTCTCAAGAAAGAATAACTAACTAACATGCATTCAGGTAATTTATATTAGTTAACCCCTACAGACAGAACGACAAGAATAATATGTTGTCACATTTTGATTGGTTGTGACGAGGATGATGTTGCTGAGAATGGGAAGCACGAAAGCTGTTTGGAAGAGTCAAGAACTTAAGCCATCATTATGCTCTTTTTCATTTCTTTAATTATATTAAGAGTACTGAAGACTGATGAGGAGTTTTCTTATTTATTGGACTAATTATCGTTGCTGTTCTGATTGATGAGAAGGTGGTATGTAACAAATTGTAGTGAAAAGACTTTGTGCAACAAATTAAAATATAGAAATTTCTATGGATATATAATGATAAGAACATGAGACATTATATTCTTAGAAGAAATGATTTGTCGTTATTTAATTTATACGGTCTCCACTAAAACCACAAGGTCCTGAGCTCTTTAGAAATATTCTTAATCACATATATAAAGGGATTTTTCTTTCTATGGTGTAATACTTTAGCTATGGATTTTTTATTTTAAAAAAAGAGACATTTAGATATTTAGCAGTTATTCTACCTCTCACTAATTTAAAATTAAACTAATATTACTTAACAAAAATACTCTCCATTAACATATTACTCCGTATATATTACACTGGAGTGGTAATGACCATTAACATAGATGTTTATTTTTAGTATCTTAAATGTCTATATTTTAGTATATTATATGTTTATTTTTTTTATATATTACATGTTCATTTTTAGTAGAGTTAATTTCAGGAATGATCTCATTGGTTATTGATATTTACCAATTTTAATTTCTGACTTTTAATTGGACAAATGATCTTTTAACTATCGACCTTTATCAATTTTCATCATTGACTTTAAATTTGATCATAAATGGGTCTTTGACTATTGATTTTGTTTCAAATGTAATCATTCAGATAAATTATATACATTTTTTTTTGAATGCAAATTATATATATTTAGTAAACTATAACTATAACTTTAAGGATGATAATATAAAATTTTGGTTCTTCATATTCTCACTAATGATGAATTCAATGTATTAAGTTTATGAACCCAATTTGATCATCTCAACAACAAACCAATTTTTACATTATCATCTTTAAATTAAATATTTACTAAATGACCGATATTTAACTAGCTAGAAGACCAAATTAAAAAAAAAAATAGTCAAGAGATTATTTATGATCAATTGAAAGTCAATGAAAATTGGTAAATGTCAATAGTCAAGTGACCATTTATGATCCAATTGAAAGTTAAGGATAAAAAATGATAAATGTCAATAGTCAATTGATTATTCCTGAAATTAATCCTTTTTAGTATATTACATAAAAATTAATGAACATGTAACATTAGTGACTCTTTCATATAGAAGGTTATGAGGTCGAGCCTCGAGTTAGTAGCTTCCAAAAAAAAAATTGTACACTAAAAACAACATATTGTAAACTTTCAAATAATGGTTGTGAATTTTTCTATTAAACTAAAAACATATTATTTCATTCATGAAATTAAAATTCGAAGACTTTATTTAAATTACAATTTTTCTACTCGGACCACATATGTATTATATTTGTGGGGAGGTATAGTATATATTAGGGGCTAATATATATATACCATATATAGTGCATGCATTTTCTGCATCATCACTGCCGATCTCCCATCATATATATATATTCTATCATCAAAACCTCAAAGAAATCGATTACTCAAAATCCAGAAAAACCCTTCATGCAGAAAGAAATCCCAGCTTGTTCTAAAGAAATGGCAGCCTCAGGATCACCATTTTTCGCGGCGAGTTCCGGCGGCGTCTTTTGCAGTCCGAATGAGACCGCATATTCGTCGCCGGAGCGTTTCGTTTCGAGTTCAGACTCCAACTCCTCAGCAGATGAGGCTTCCAATAATAATAATTTCTCCGATTTCGCGACGATATCAGATCAGGTGGCGATGAATGAACACGATCACACGCGTTCGACGTTTCCTCATCACGGCGGCCTGAGTTTTTCCGATCAGGCGGCGGCCGGAATCCCATTGAATTTTCTTGAATCTTTCCCGTCACTCAACGCGGCTGCAAATGCTCCGTCTTCTTCGTCGAATTTCCCGAATTTGGGGTTGTTTTTGCAGCAGCCTTCAGTGGTGGAAACGCCCAAAAAACCTTCTTCTTCTTCATCATCGCATTCACAAGTTTCGGACAATTTTTTGTTCCCGGTATCCCAGATTAATGGTGAGTTCCGGCAACCGGCGGAGAGCTGGCTGAGAATGAATCAGACATTGACGAGTTACTCGTCAAAGGGGTTCAGTGATTTCTGGCTTAGCAACACCAGAACTCAGCCGATGAAACACACGGCGGGGAGAAGAACGACGACGGAGAAGTCTTGCTTCTCGGCGGCGCAGGCGTCGCCGGGGAAGCTGTTCCGGGGAGTGCGGCAGAGGCATTGGGGGAAATGGGTGGCGGAGATACGGCTGCCGCGGAACCGGACGAGGGTATGGCTGGGGACGTTCGACACGGCGGAGGAGGCCGCGTTTGCGTACGACACGGCGGCGTATATGCTCCGGGGAGACTACGCCCACCTCAACTTCCCAGATTTGAAGCACCGGCTGAGAGATAACTGCATCAACGGCAACACGGCGGCGCTCCTGGAGGCGAAACTGCGATCGATATCACAAGGGACGGCGGCCGGGGCTACCAAGAAGGCTAATAATAATAATAATAATAAAAATAATGAGATGATGATCAAAGATCCTCCGCCGCCTAATGTGAAACCATTGGTGAATGAAAGTTCAAGTGGAGTGACGTGGACACAAAACCCAGTGACGCCGGCGGCGGAGATCGCGGCGGAGAAGAAGAAGAGGGAGGTGGAAGAGGCGGCGGCGGAGAATGAGGGAGGTTTTCAGCTGAGTAGAATGCCGTCTTTAGATATGGATACCATCTGGGCTGAACTCCTAGTCTCTGATTCATGACTGCAACTTCTCTTTCTCCGTCAATTCTGCAGGATTATCCTTTTTTTTTTTTTTTTTTGAAAATTTTCGTACAAGAAAAGAAAATGTATTTATAATTTTATATCTCTTTGATTTTTTTTTTTTTTTTTTTTTTTTTTTTTTTTTTTTTTTTTTTTTTTTGTTTTCCTTTTGTGTTCTTTGGATCGGAGGGGTTAGCAATTTTTTTTTTAATTTTTTATTATCTCTTAATATTCACTCTTTTATATAGTTACTTGATTAGTGTTTTTTTTTTAAATAAAAAAATTGATTAATAAGTATTTTAAAAACAAAAATTGGGTAAGATAGGTAAATTCACATCATCCCAGGTAACTAATGACTATAAAAAGTTTTTTTTTTTTTTTTTTTTTTTTTTTTTTTTTTTTTTAAATTTTAAGTGGCGAAACTATGACTAAAAAAAGTAACATTTTTAGAAAAGGTTAAAGATTTATCAATTCCAACCAAAATTTCAACCTTACATACTAAATTAAATTTTTTACAATGTCCTTAATTTCTCAATAAAAAAGTGAATTTCAACGAAGAAAAAAAATTCTTAAAATTAATGATTAATATCACAAATTCATGATCAATATGAATTTTGAATATTATAACATGAGAATTTATACGGTAGCAAACAACACCATTGTTGAATTGTATACCATTGACTTAGAAGAAAGCTCATAATCATTACTTAAATGTATATTTTAAGTGAATCTCACTTTGTGATAAGAGAAAGAACCATAAGAAGGTAAATCATTCTAGATTGCATATAGTTGACTAACTTAAATCCAAAAAGTCAATAAACAGCTCTAACAGGAAGTCGGACTTGCTAGCTACCTCGTACAACAATACAAGTGTAGCTGATTGTGCCAAATACAATTAGCAACAACTAACCCCTATACTTATGTATTCGCACTGCACCACGTACAGCTCGCATAGTCAACTGTCACATGGGTGAAATTTAAAAAGAATGACTAGGGGTCGAGTCTCACAATGATTCTTGAGATTGGAGATTCAACTTTTTGGGAAGAATGTATTCGCGCCGCCACATTGGTAATTGATTTCATAACAATTTTGAATTAGCATTAACCCATTCAATTCATAAAGCTTTGGTGGGCAAGAAAGGGTCATAAAGAAAGATAGAGAAGCGTGGGAAGCAAAACATGTTCATCATCATCTATGGGTGTGTTTTGACCAAGCTAAGCTATGGCAACAATGTTATTGTTTCATTAAAATATGCAAAAAGTCAAAATCAAATGCTCCTTCCTACTTATTACTCCCTATGCTTTCATGTTCAACCTCGTGAGGGTTGACTAATTATTTCGTTTTCTTTTTTCATCACTTCATGTTCTTCCATCCTTTTCCCACTTATCCAACCCCCCAAGATCCTCTTTATGTCACTTTTTATTTCTTTCCCTGTCATAAAAATGGATAATATTTAATGTTTTAATTTCTTATGATTGAAAAATTACATTTTTTTTATCATCCAAAATGTGGTATAAATTTTAGATTTTTTTTTTTTTGGAAATAATGATTACTCTTTTTTGGATCCTCAAAGTGGTTAAAAAGTATATTAGAAATTCCATTTTTTAAAATTTGTACGTAAATCTAAGGTTTTTAATCGCTTTTTGATGATTGGGAATATTAAAATTTTCAGCTATTAGGGTAATATAATAAATAGAATTATAGAACGTTAATCTAAAAAAAAAAAAAAAAAAAAGTGAATCACGTACTATTGAACTATATATATATTACTTTTGATTTATGGGAAAACCTTCAACACTTATGTGAAGGTGCACTGTATGTGAAGCCCGCCTTGTGACCATAGCTGATAAATGACCACAACAAGGTAAATCAACCCATGTTATTCATAGATAACAGGGTCAAATCAAGAAAATAGACAACTCCCACAAGAAGTCAAACACGAAATCTTGAAGTATACTACCTTTGTGTTAATTGGGATAGAGGGTTCATGCTCATGTAACTTGAAACGGATTCACTAGTGGTTATGGTACTCAGAAGATTTGTGAGAAGCACAAGGGGAGATCCCCACTTTACCACCCCCTACAAGCAATGCAAGAGTTGCTTTAATTTGACCATTTATATTAAACTAACATATCTATCGAGAGGTAAATAATTGTGCTAATTGATTAGTTTTTAAAAGAATTACGATCATTTTTTTATTACGGACTCAAAATGGGTTAGTTGAATCAAATTTTTTATTTATTTTAATATGTGTATATATATACACACACAAAATAACCTTCCCACTATCCCTAATCCCTTATAATAATTAAGTTCGTATTCACTATGGATTAGTATTTAATTTGTTTTTCTATGGATCAATTTTTACTTTTTAATTTAATTTTAAAATAATAACAATAACTTTTTTCTTAATTAGTATATCGCTCCAATCCAGGATTATAGTAGCATATTTATAATTTGGAAAAGTAATCATAAAATATAGGGAGTAAGTATTAGTTAATGAAGGTGATAATGACGTATAAAAAGTGACACAATATTATAAAATATGGTACTCCGTATTAACTAGGAAGAAGTTAAAGCATATGATATGAAACGTCACAAGTCACATCTACCAATTTGTACTATGATTGGTTGGTCGGTTAACTTTTATAAAAAAAAAAAAAAAAAAAAATTACCGGAAAATTGTGCAATTTATTAAATATTAATTTTTTAATACATCTTTAGATTTGGAAATCTATCCTTAGATTTTTTAGTGTTTTTTTTTTTTTTTGGTGATAAAGAAAACTCGCAACTATTATTTAAAAATTATATTACGCTTTGTTTTTAAGATATTAGAAAAATTCAATATAAAAAAGTTTGATAAAAAAATATTGATAAAAATTGAACTCATAATTTTTCAATATAATTATTATGTTCCACCCGCTTATGCAGATTCAAAGATCTATCTTTAAATTTTTATAGTTTTTATTTATCCAAGGAGAAGAGACTTTACAACAAAGGTTTGCTTCTAAGTTTAAGAGTTGGTGTAAGCATGACAATAAGTTAAAAAAACAATAAAATTCTAGATTAGTTTTAGTCCACTCATTTATGTTTTAATAACTTACAGTCATTGTTACTAATTCTTGAATCAAAATATGATTTTGGAAATATAATAAGGAAATTTTAAAATATTTGATGTAATGAATGGGAAAATTATTTTCACATACAATGTCTTCATTCGATCATGAACAATTCAAAAAGTTTTTTGAATTGTACCTGTAGACACTTAAATTTTGATAAATATTGATTATTTATCAATATTAGTATATTTGAATATATTTGAAATATTTTGGATAATATTGATATTATCTAATTTGTTAATTAGATAATATCAAAAGAGTTTGAGCTTATCAAAACTCTCTATCCTACAGCTATAAATAGGGCATTTTATTTCTATGTAATCACACACATCCTAGGAAAAGTGATGTAAACATCTAGAAAAATATTATTCAGGATCACATAAAAATGTGATACTGAAAGTAGAAGTTCCTCCACCAAAATGATCATGCCTATGCCTATTGATCCAAACCTCCATTGAAGATCAAGCCATTTGAACCCGGAGGCCCTTCAAGAAGAACAAGCTATACAAGCCCTTCTTTGAAGATCAAGCCACTTGAAACCCGGAGGCCCTTCAATGGTGGAGTGTTCAAGGCATTCAAATCGAAGAATCAGAGGACCATTCAGAGACTTGTACCCACCCCGCATTAATATTTGATATGTAAACCAGAACTTTGAATTTCTAAATATTATTCAATTTTCTTTGTTCACAAATTGGCACGCCCAGTGGGACAGCTCTGCCTCTCAACTCATGCCAATGAGCCTTGAAAGATATGAGGCCGTTTAAACTCGTGCCAAGGAGTCTGAATATAAGGCCGTTTAAACTCGTGCCAAGGAGTATCATTTAGCTTCCTCCGTTTCAAATTTCATACAGGGTTTGCCCCCATATCGGTTGAAAGTGCCTATGAAGAGATGAGAGGCAGAGCTGTCCCACTGAGTGTGCCAATTTGTGAACAAAGAAAATTGAATAATATTTAGAAATTCAAAGTTCTGGTTTACATATCAAATATTAATGCGGGGTGGGTACAAGTCTCTGAATGTCCTCTGATTCTTCAATTTGATGCCTTGAACAATCCACCATTGAAGGGCCTCCGGGTTTCAAGTGGCTTGATCTTCAAAGAAGGGCTTGTATATATAGCTTGTTCTTCTTGAAGGGCCTCTGGGTTCAAATGGCTTGATCTTCAATAGAGGTTTGGATCAACATGCATCAACATATGGAGGAGGAAGGACTTTTACTTTCAGGATCACATTTTTATTGTGATCTCTGAATAAGCTTTAGAGTTCTTTCTATGATTTTTCCTAGGATGTCTGTTTACCTAGAAATGAAAGACCCTATTTATAGCTGTAAGATAGAGAGTTTTGATAAGCTCAAACTCTTTTGATATTATCTAATTAACAAATTAGATAATATCAATATTATCCAAAATATTTCAAATATATTCAAATATACTAATATTGATAAATAATCAATATTTATCAAAATTTAAGTGTCTACAGTACCTAATGCAAGAAATTAAATATCGGTGTTGATCGGTAAAATATTTCTCTTTATTGCGTGTGTCTATAAATATACTTGTGAGAATATGTGCTCAAGTAAAAACTGCCAATTGATCTTAGTTGTTGATCTGAAAAAAATGGAATTTGGGAAAAAAATGAGGTGATATCTTTTTAAACATTTCAAACTTTGAAATGCATGTACATAAGTGTAAACTGTAAAGTTTATTTGATGATATGTGAAAATCTTAAATAGGTTTTGATTGAAACTCGATTGAATTAGTCAAATCCTACTAGATACATGTATATAACTGCAATTGTAAGCATATATGATAATATCTAAAAGTTCGAAATAGGGTTTAATTGAAACTCAACTGAATTAGTCACATCCTACTATATAAATGCACATAATTATAAAGTATATATATAAGTCCTAAATAAGGTTTGATTGAAATTCGACTGAGATCGCATGCAAGAATATCCATCTATCATGAATTCAATGAGATCAAATGTTAAAACACAACAAAACTTTGTCATTACAAAGGTGTTTGTACATCAACTTTGTCACACCAATCCCATAACCATTACCAATCACCAAAAATCCAGCAGAGAATCTGTTAAAAAACATGGGCACATGAAGGAGCAAAGAACACAAAATTTGACAGATTAATAATGTTTTCTGCCTTCTGGACTAGACATTGTATGCAATGGCAGTGCAACTACAACAATGCACTTATCGTCGACTGTTTTTTCAATCCCAGCCTCCAGATAATCCACCTCCCGGTAGCTAGCATGCCCGAATTTGAAGCATCGATCATCGACTTCCATGAAACACTGTTTTCAGCCATCTGCAGAATCTGGGATCAGAGAAATTTCATGTTATTCCTCCAGAGCCATTCATAGGACTGCTCTTTATGGCTCAACATAAAACACAATTTTGGTGATCATTAGATTATATAGTATAATTCAAGGTACAATAAGAAATATATATACAAATAGCTACACAGAAAGAGTATAATTCTGCAGAAAGGCAAGCTAAGCTAGCAGAGACAATGATGAATTGTAAGGAAAAGAATAATGTAGCTCGATCTTAGAACATTTTTCGGGTACTAATGATGAGTATATAACCATTAATGTGCAATCCAACTATCAGCTTAGGCTTTTAGTTGAGATGGAGCACATGCTTCAATTTGGTATCAGAGCCAGACCAAAGGTCATGGAGGGGACTTGTTGAGCATATAACCATTAATGTGCAATCCAACAACACATGCTTCAATTACTAATTTCATACCTTCATTGAGTGTAAGCTGTCGAATCTCTTGGAGCTGGCACGCTATATCCTCCAAGAGCTTCAGCTGCACCTTTTCGCCTCCATGGTCAAGATTCTTCAGCTTTTCGTTATCAACTGCAGGCATAGAATACTTTTGTAGATCAGAAATCAACTGCAGGCATATAACCATTACTGTGCAATCTAACTATCAGGTTAGGCTTTTAGTTGAGATGGAGCACATGCTTCAATTATCATTACCAGCAAAGTGTTGATTTCCCAGATAAACCATCTGTCTATAAGCTTCAACTTCCCTTTCCAAAAAGTGCTTCTCAGTTTCCCTCCTCACCAAGATCTCTTTCATAACTTCCATTTCATCTGCTTCATAAGCTGATTTCTCCTCAATTATCCTCTTATATTGCTTAGCTTCCATTTCAATTGACGCCTTCTCGCCCTGCAGGCGAGAAATCATCGCCATTGCCTCATCTGCAGCACTTGCAGCTGCATTCCTCTCCTTCTCAAGCTCGAGGCAAAGCGCATCACGAGCAGCTTTCTCTTCCTCGAGCGCTTTTTCCAAGAATCTTATCGCACTCATGTCATTGGCATTATAGACCTCATCCACTTGAACATTGCCATTAAGATCTTCTCTGATGAATAAATCATTCTCAGAGTGCTCATCATCATCATCATCGTCGGGAAATACATTTTCGTCCAATTTAAAGCTGTCTCTTGGCCCAAATCCTGCATCTGTGGGAGCATACATACACAAATTATAATCAGTTTGGGGATTAGGAACCTGAGTTTTTCTCATAAGAGGAGTGAAACAAGTAGACCCCTAAAGTTGTATCACCACTATCACCATCACAAGAATACTTTCACCTCCGTGGACGTAGACACATTGCCAAACCACGTAAATCTTGTCTTTTTTACTTTCTGTCATTATTATTGTTTCTTGTTCTTATTAATCTCAACAAAACTACATGTATTCAAACACAAAAAAGCAATAGAAGAATGCATAACTCTGTATAACAATACACAATGAGCTTTCACTTTTCAGCTTCACAACACTAAAAATATACATATTCCTCATGAATTGAATAAGAAATTGAAATTCAGTAAAGCTAATAAGTGCTCAACTTTGTCAAGGATGAATGGAACTCACCATTAGAACAAGGATAAGTTCCATTACTGAAAACTTCTTCACTATCTTCACTCATTCCATTCCTTTCGTCGTCGATTCTAGAATGACATTGTTGATCATCCTGCAATTCAACATATTGAGGATCATACCGAGAAGACGAAAACAACCTGCAATGATCAATGGGCATAAATTCCATTCTATCAGCATTTCTTGGCAACCCTCCATCAGAACCTGGGCTAGATTGAGCCTCAACTTCCATTTCAACAAACCCATGGCCATTATGGCTAAGAACATCATCCCTTTCCCCAATCAACCTCAGATTCAAATGGACATTCTGGGCATTATAATGGCATCTCTCTTTGACAGATAGCTTAACATTTGACACTTTCTCAGTGGCCAAACCACTCAGAAGCCTCTGCAATTTCTGAATATCATTTCGGGAAATACCAAACAACCAATTACAGGGGGGATATGGCAAGCCTAACCCACAAAAACCCAGAAATTTAAATGTAAAGAAAGCTGCTGCTGATACACACAGACAGAAAAATGCAATCGCCAGATCAAGAAAAGAACCCGCTAGACTACTCAGACTCCACATATAGTTTGCTTCACTTTCCATGTCTTTTCCACCGAAGATTATAGAGTTTTTGTGCTGAAGATATGATCTTGAAACTAAACAACAAATTGGGCTGTCTGTTTCATGGGAAAACTATGTACGAATGTGAATAAAAATCTTAACTTTACCGGAATAAGAAGACATCTCTGGGCTTTTCTTGAACCATTTCCTGTTATTGGTGTTCTAAGGATACGCAGAAATGGATAAGCAGAAAGCACTAAGAAGGAGACGGTTTCTGAAACTAAGCTGTACGAGGCAGGCAAATGTGGGAATGTTGAATTAAAATTTTTTTTTTTTTATCAAAATTGGGTAACTTTTTAATTTCCTGTTTGGGAACTCTATTGTATGCATGATGACAGCTAATGGGTCGTCTGGAATGTCTATAATTCTATCCTAGTATGGGATTTAATTGCCAGTTTCCTTACGTCAAACGGATGCTTTGTTTGCGCTCATGCATTGTCATTTTTTTTTTATTTTTTTTTGATAGATTAGGTTTCTCGATACTCGATGGATTAATCTCAAGTCTATCTAAATCGTCTCATCAGTCTCCAAGTTCTCACCTTTTACTTGCTCACTCTAAGTCCAAGGGTACTTCATCACCTATGAACGGTCAAGCCTCCCAATGACTCTCAGGTTCCAGTAAGGTTTAAACTCTTACACTGTCGCTAGAGCAAGATTTTAAGATGATAGGTCGAACTAATTGAGATTTTTTGACTTCTTGGACTATACCCCAGACCAGGCCCATGAGGAGGTAAATCAAGTCAATATTGTTTCGAGACTCAACACTAAATTATATACTTCTAGGCACAAGAAGTTTAACTCTAGTGTTAAGTGTTGATATTATATATGTCATTTCTTTGGACACCATTTAAGGAAAAAGAATTCATTTAAATTCGATGTATGAACAAGAGGAAAGATGGTAACAACCGAAGTAATAGAAATGTTGGTTTATCAATATTGGAGCATGATATTTTGCAACAGTTATACCATGGACCTGAGTACACCTTGTAAGGTGGACTCGAGTTCAAAATACATAATTTACATATTTAATGTTCACAATTTATATATTAAATGTTCACAATTCAAATTGTGAACATTTAGTATGTAAAATTGTAAACATTCAGTAGGTAAATTGTGTAATTTTGAACCAGATTTATTTTACAAGGTGGACCCAGGCTGACAAAATAATTTGCCGATATTTTGGATATGAAATGGGCAAATTATGCTGTGCATCCGTATGCACCATGCATGGTGCATACGGATGCAAAAACGACGTCGTTTTAATAAAACGCGCGTCTCCCCTTAAAAAAAAAAAATCAGGTTCGATTCCCAGCAACAACATATAAACTAAAATTCCGTAATCGATGAACTATAATTCCATAATCGATGAACTATAATTCCATAATCTAATCTATGAACTAAAAATTCCAGAATGAATGAACTAAAATTCCATAATCTATAAACTAAAATTTCAGAATCGATGAACTACAATTCCATAATCGATGAACTATAATTCCATAATCAATGAACTATAATTCCATAATCTATGAACTAAAATTCCAGAATGAATGAACAATATAATGTTGTTGCTGGGAATCGAACCTGAATTTTTTTAAAGGGAAGACGCGTGTTTTTTAATAAAACGACGTCGTTTTGGAATCCGTATGCACCATGCATGGTGCATACGGATGCACAGCATAACGATTGGGTTGTGAGTTGGTTTATTAACTTCATTTATGAATTATAAGACAACATTAATCCATTACACCCCTGCTCCAACATTTCATGGTTGGAAGTTGGAAGACATTAGAATGGGATGGGGTTGTGGGGATACCAAAGTAGGTTTGGACTTTGATGGTTTAGGTATAAAATTGTATTTGGATCAAATCATAATTTGGGCTCATTACATGGTAATTCACCACATTTTAAACTAATCTTCCTAATCTATCGTTTCAAACCAATTTTTTTTTTTTTTTTTTTTTAAATAACTAAGTAATACCTCCTTAAAAAAAAAAAAAAAACATGCAATTCACCATATTTTAAACTAATCTTCCTAATCTATCGTTTCAAACCAAAAATAAAAATATAAACTAAGTAATTAATACCTCACCCTTAAAAAAAAAAAAACGAGAGAAACCCATAGTGGCTAATCAAAGATGTGCAGTGGACAAACCCAATTCTTATATGTATAATAGCAATCGTTATATTGTGGACCAAGATTCACAGTGCACATAATTTGACTTTAGAATTTACAGAATTCATGTTTAGAATGTACAGAATTTATATATTCATAATACACATAAACATAAACATAAACATGGTATAATAAATATGAATTCTGTGTATTATGAACATGAATTATGTACATTATGCATATAAATTATGTGTATTATGTTAAGTGTTTATGTGTCTTCATCATTCCTGTGCCTTTTTTCCATACATGTATTTAGTGGAATTTAAACCCTACACTATTGCCTCTAGTCAGGATCTTTATGAAAAAAGAAAAAGAAAAAAAAAAGTAAGAAGTAATTTGTTCACTACTTTTGAATTATGAATTGGATCAAATCATAGGTTCCCTCAATCAAGATAAACTAATACTTTATCTATATATCGAGACTAATTAAATTTATTCATATCAAGTAGAACCTTAAAAGGTGACAAAACACTTCTTTATGAGTTTTATGATAGGTGCATTTTTTTTCAGTTCAAACCCATGATCTTTGGTTAAATTGAAAAAAGCTCACGTAATGTCATTCATACCTCATGAGTTGAATTATGTATATATATATATATATATATATATATATATATATACTAGTAATTGTCCCGTGCGATGCACCAATGTCCATTCATACTTTGGAAACAAAGATTCTGCTTTATATATATAAAGATATATATATTACATTAAATCATAGAACCAACATTAACTAAGATGGAATGAGTAGTATATAAATGAAAATTAATGAACGCCAATATACACATAAAGTCAACCCATTATTTGATCGCCCGCTCTAATTTGATAACCAAAATCAAACAACTTTTTTGGATGCAAATGTCATACACCCTCCACCAATCTCTATTGCCAAAAATAAATAAATAACCCCAAAAGGGGTAATGGATCTGGGTGAATGGAACATTATTCTTGTACCAGACAAATAAAAGAACAAATTGTTGCCAACACTCTCTTGATCAAATTCGTCGCACATAGTCTTTTTAGTGTGATTTACATCTCCCGTATGGTTTACAAATTATTATAAAAAAAAAAAAAAAAAACATAATTTACTTTACACATACCCTCAAGCAGCAGGTTTTCTTCTTGACCTAAAAGAAATAAATAATAAAATAATTGAGAATGAAACCCAAATATTCAACATCTGAAGCCAACCCAGAAAGCATAAAGAAATGGTTACTAGGCTTTCATCCAACTAATTAATTGCCCCTATATCTTATTAGCATCAATATATAATATAATCATTTAACTTCTTCATCCACCTAGTTTGACAATTTCGAGCTTACTTCATTATCAGATGATTAATGAATTGGACCTACAAAGAAAATATCCACCCACCTAATTAACTTCTCCACCATTTTTCAACAAATCATGACTGAAATGCTTGCTATTCAAAGATTGTTTAAACAACTTCTTGAGTTGATGATTGTTACATGTCGCACGTACAATTTCTTACAGAGTTACATTGATGTGGTATCGTATCATCACTGTTCACTTCTTAAAAAGTCAATATTTGTAACGATTAGGCTGCTCTAAACGATTCATACTTCAAAGTTCGAACATACATTTTTTTCTTTAATATTGTGTGTGACATTGAATGAGCATATATGTCTCTCATTTTGGACAATAGGTAGGCTTTTTGGCCTCTTTCTTGTCGTCACACGGTAATGTCTGAGCAAGAGTGTCAATAATCAGTATTCAAGCCAATCAAGCTAATAGTATTAGTTATTTATAAAAATGTATTTGACAAATTTATCTATTTATGGTTAGGTGTTGCCATGTAAAATTATTTATAAGAATATGAATATATTTTATTACGGGTATTTATTTAACTATTCTTAATGTATTTTTTTTCATATCAATTACATTATTTCGAGTTGAAGTTTAAAATTGAATATCGTGAGTTGTTAATGGATTGGGCGCATTATGCATAAAAGTGTACATCTCTATCACTATATGATAAAAGAATATGGTATAACTCATCGGTTTGATAATACTAGTATTGCATAATGTACGTTATGATTTAAAATTAAATAATGATATCGAATTATAATATTTTGGACTGATCAATCAACTACTATGTAATGTGATAGTATTTCTGTTACCGTTCCAAATGGGTGGTCACAAGATCGAACTTTGATTTTTTTAGACTCAAAAATTAAAGTTTGAAAAAGTATATAGAACAAATATTAAATTGTAAAGAATCATAAGTATTTCAAAAAAAAAAATATTTTGGGTCAATTAACAACTCCATTTTACAATTGGTTTTATGCCTTTATTTTTAAACCAAATAATTAAACAATTTTTTCCCACATAAATTAGGTAAGTGAAAATATAATAATGTGAAAATATGTAACCATCCAATAACACAAGTAAAAAGCCGGCAGGGAAAAGAATGTGAACCTGTAACATCATGAAAGGAATGTGAACGCACATAAACAAAAACAATAATACTCCGTATTAAATATTAATCAAAACAACAACAGTAGTAGGCTACCCAACTCAACCTAAACAATCAAACTAATCTTTCTGTCTTTCTGTGCTTTTGGTTGGTAAGATTTCACACATAACTACCTCACTCACTCACAAACTCTTTTTATATATATAGGGTATAGGTAGGATTAAAAAAATAGAGTCATTTGTAAAAAATAGAAATGATCTTAGATGTCTATATCAAGTTCATTAATAATTGAGAGTTTTAGTAAAAAAATACGTGATCATTTTTATAATTATTAAAAAGAATTAAAAGCGGGGCTTCATTTTATTATTATTGCAAACTTAAAAATTTAGTAATGATAAAGATCTTAACCTTTGATTTTTCAAGATGTATTGTATGAATGTGTCTACACTTTTTAGAGATGATGTGTTCTCACTTTAACAATTGAACCTTGTCATATATTGTGGGGCCAATAACTATATTGGGTACAACTACATAAACTCCTTAAGGACAATACTATATGTATTCCCATTCTCTAGCTACTACCAAATTTTACTCCCACTGTGCACTTAAAATTTTGATGTTGACACATTTACAGGAACCCACATGAAGAAAAAATAGCCTATCAAGCGCCCACCGCATCAGAAGTAAATTTGAGGGAGTAAGATTTGAGAGTACATGTAGCAGAACTTAATTCTTAATTATACTTTATACTATATATTGTCATAAATACGTAGATTTGTCAAAACGAACTTTGCATGCCTACCAGCCTTGCTATCATTAGGCTAGCCCACCCACAGGTTTTGGCAAGCTAGGCGTGGTTAGCCGAAATCTAGGCCTGCCAAGTGGCAGGGCTTTGGCATGCCACACCCCATCGGATCACTTTAACCGTTATAGTCATATTGTTAATACTTAATAGTACGTTGTACAGTAAAAAAAAATAGTATAAATGTTTGTAGTCAGCATTATTAATACCATATATATATATATATATATATATATATATATATATATATATATAACTTTTACATTGTTATTTTATACATAATATTAGGATTGTACCAGATATTGTCAACACGTTTTTTGCACAATACCTAATACAACTAAGCATAATTTGTATGATTATATATAGTACCCAAAAAAAAAAAAGATCCCAAATGACACGTTATAAAAGACATACATGCTTATATTTGTCTTCTTTCATTGAAAGATTTTAAAACATAGCAGGATTGGCGCCATTGATGGGTACTCAAAACCATATATAAATGCTAAGTATATAAGTGATAAATTGAGAATATTGACTTTGTAAAAGTCTAGAAGCAGCAGGTGATGACAATGTTGATTTGAAATTTTGGATAATTTTGGTGATTTGATTCCTCAACCACTTGTCAGTTTACTTGTTTTTTCTTATCAATTTCTACTCAAATTCGGTGGTGTTTGACATTCCTCCGCTCTCTTTTCCCATATTTTTATTTTTGTGGGTATAAGATCGAATCTGTTTAATTACGCATCTATCAATTACAAAATGATAAAATTTCTTCCCCCAAGGTCCTCACGCCAGCAAAATGATCGTCGATGTTAGTTGGTCGCCTTCTCCGACGAAGGAAATTGAAGACAGACCAACTGGTCACCTTCTCCTTTGCTGGAAATAGAGATGTCAACGGGACGGGATGGGGCGGAGGACATACCCCCCATCCCCGCCCCCGACTTTCTTCCCATTCATCGTCCCCATTCCATCCCGCCGGGGAAGGGAAAAATCCCCGCGTCCCCAATCCCACGGGGATTATTCGGGGACGGGGAATCCCCACCCCGTTAATAAGTTATAAAAAAATTAAAAATTAAACATTAAAAAATATTTAAATAAATAATGCATATATATTCATCCCCAACTTAAAAATATTTTACAATTAAACATGTTATTTAAATATGCATTTCATAAGCATGACATACAATGACAAGAATGCTTCTAAAATTATATATTCCGTATATTGTATACAAAGTAATACATATGTGTGTTGTGTGGCTATACATACATACATACCGGGGACGGGGACTCCCCATCCCCCGCGGGAAATTTAAAATTGCCCACATCCCTATCCCCAATCCCCTATTTCTGTCCCCATCCCCATCTCTGTAGGGGTGGGGAATCGAGTTCCCCGTCGGGTGCGGGTACAATTGACATCCCTAACTGTAGAAGGTAAATAGTTTGGTCGTCGGAGAAGGCGGTCAGTTTGGACGCCTTCTCTAGCAATTGAAGAAGGCGACCATTTCTGATCGCCTCTTCAAATGGTCACCTATTTGGTCATCTCCAGTCAATCGGCTGTAAATTTAGAAGGCAGTCAATGCAATTACAGTGGTTAACGGTGTAAATTTACTACTAACATGTTAGTTATCGATAAATTAATTAGATCTATTTAACTCATTTTAATGAGTTTGATGATTAATTACAACTTTTAAATATTCATTGATCTAATTACTTTATCGTACAAAGTTCAAGTGTCTAGAAAGAATACAAAAATCAACAACCATAAAATTAAAGAAACTACAAGAAGATGCAATGCATTTATCCAATCAAATTAACGCTTCACAATTTAATAATCAATCAATTATAACAAGTCACGTCCAACACAATTCCTTTTCTAGAAAGTGATTTTATTATTTTCCATGTAGCTACGCATAGCTAGGTGTGGAAATAGATCATAAAACTCTAATAATTTTCCAAGAATCCAACCAATTAAATATTGTTACATTCCCTAGCTTGGTTTCCAACAACGTCGTACGACGACCATATATACAAAACTGGTTTTGCGTCAACCAATTTTCCTTAGCTTCCATGCATGCATTCAAACAAAGCGTGTCGTGCTTCTTTCTAGTAACTTTCCTGTCCCCTTTTTACTATAATTCCATCAATTTCATATTACGTCCACGAGATTATATACGTATTTAGAAAAGGTCCTTTTGGTCGGGCTTTAATTTTCTCCACACACATACACATATATATTGGTCCAAATGACAACTTGTCTACCTATGAAAGCGAGAAGACGCGGACTAATTTTATCCAATCATCTAAGATGATCAAAAAATGAAAATTAAAGAAAAATATAATGCAGTGAAATTACTATAATTACAATTGTACATTTGAGAAATTCACAGATAATTGATAATGATGGATATGGAAACTCTTTTCTAAATACATTGTCAAGTGTTTCCGAATGTACTGTCCACCAATCTAGTAATTTTGAGAAAAAACATAATGGTTCTGTTTGGTAAAAAATTGGTTTATAGGTCAATTTTGATTTATTTGACCACTATTAATTGTTTGATTTAGTTAAAATATCAATATAAATGTTTGGTTAATTAGCTTTTTGCAATTCCAAAAGGCTAAAATTCAAAAAGTTACTCCAAGCAACTTTTTCAATTAGCTTTTTGAGAAAAGAAATTATACCAAACAGCTATCAGCTAACACCTAATTTACCAAACACTTTTCTACAATCAGCTAATGTTATCAACTATTTACACCATCTAATTAACACAATAAGCTAACAGCTAGCAGCCATTTTACCAAACAGGGCCAATAACATTCCGGTAATATTTTTAACTTTAAAAGTGTAATTTTTATATCATATAGAGTACAATTTTTAATGATATAGAATGTATATGTATTGAGCTTAGTCACATTTGATAATTTACTTCCTTTATTAAGATTTTATTATAGAAACAAATACTTTATTTTATACTTAGGTGATCTTAATTTCGTTTGACTAATCCTAAGTTCACATAATCCTGTTCTTAGAACCACTGCAAAAATAAATTGCAAGTCGCGTAATCAGTTCACCAGCTATATTCCTTAATTTTCATACACACAATAAGTCATGACATTAAGTCAGGTGAGAAATTAGTACGTTACATTACGCCCCGAGTGTATAGAGACATATACTTGAGTTTAAGGTTAGGATGTTTTTTTTTTTTTTTTTTTTTAAACAAAAAATAAGAAAGAAAAAGAATGAGTCTTTCTTTAGAGAGCAATGGAACAAGTGGATGACGACATAGCGTGGGTGATGTAACCTTGTAAAGAGATTGATTCGGGCCGGCCAGGCAGGTTTGTAGGAATAAAGGGACCGGACCAGCCGCCCGGCCCGGCGACGCGGCATTCGTTAAATACAAGTCTTACGTGTGAACATCTGAGGGCTGGAAAGTGATCTGATCTGTCATTTTCAACATTCTGGAAATTTGGTTTTTACGTGACACAACAAAAGTTTACACGCACACATGGACGGAAGTAGTGGTGTATTTTTTTCTTTTCTTTTTTAAATGGTATTGATTTTTTACAAAATAAGACTAATAAAAAATATCATTTAAGATTTTTTTTTTCAATTATAAGGTGGGTTCGTTTCTTGTTACAAATATTAAAAGTTTTGATTTGAAATGGACTTTTTGTATATAGAAGTGTACAATTTTAACTTTCGAAGTTAGATTGAATCAATTTATCTTCTTATGGACTTATAAGAGGATTATGAGATTTATGATATAGTCTAACAAAATAAGACTAATTTAATCAGGTATGGAGTATATTCATCTGAATCACACAAGATGAGACTCATTTAGAAATATTCACTTTTGACAATAACCATATACCTGAAGACTAATTCAGTAATATCCACATTTCACGAGATAAATGATTAATTTAGCAATAGAGTTAATTTCACTGTTGGTCCTATGATTATTGGAGTCTTGTTGATTTCAATTCACGACTTTTAAAATTGTCAATTTAGTACCTTAACTATTCAATTTTTATCAATTTTGATCACTCTGGTCAAATTACCGACCAAAATTCACCATAAAAAATATTAATATGTAAAATAATGAGGGTAATTAATCTTTTTACTTCTATTTTCTTTCTTCTTTAAATATTTTACTAAACAAAGTTGTCACGTAATATTTATCAATTAATTTGAATTATGATTGTTGATTTATTAATAATATAATTAAAGATTTTACTAAACAGAGTCGTCATTTATTATTCGTCATTTATTATGATTATGTATTTATTAATAATATAATTAAATATTTTACTAAACATAGTTGATTATAATATAATTAAATATAATCCAATTTATATTTAGTAAAATATATAATTATATTATTAATAAAAATAAAAAATACATAATAATACTGTATCTAATTGGGAACAATTAATAATGTATCTAATAATTAAAAATGTGTAGGAAATTAGATATGTAATAATTAAGTAATAAATATGTTTAGGAAGTATATATATTTTGTTAATTAGAAATAAAAGGAATTTTTTAATAAAATACAAGTCTGAGATATTTTGTAAAAAATAACTTAATTAATATTGACTTTGTTTTTTAATAATGTGACATCTTCTCTTTCAGTGTAGGGTGTATAGCATCAAATATTAATCCAATGTTATTGACTCTACTACAATATGAAGCACCTTAATGAAGCACATAGAACTGAAGCTCAATTTCATGACCTCCCACCTGAGAGAAGTTATTACATGTCATCTGAGTTAATTAATTCAGGTGAATATATAGAAGATAGTTTTGTTTGCTACATAAATACAAGATGGGACTTTTAAGTGTGTATTTACAGAAGGTGGTGGGGTATGGTATTGTTTAATGGGCGGTTTCTACTTTTTGTTGGCAATCCAAATTCAAGCATGCAACCTAACCCTCTTTGAATAAAAGCACCCAGAGATTTATATACAAGATCTTCATAAAGCTTTCATCATAAATTCATAATTATCCATCATGAAACTCACCCTTTCCTCATCCCATTCTTCTACTTCCATTTCACACCATTGATATCAATTCTTCTTCACAGACTCCATACACCTCGCCAAGATGCACATCAAACGCCTCTGTTTCGTCTTCCCAGATGACGATGAAACCGCGCCGGCGCCGGAAAAAGGGGTTGGAGTTGGTGGAACGCGGCACCGGCGATGCGGGGGGCATGTTGTTGAATTTGTCAAGGAATCGCTGCACAGATTCTTGGGTTCTGGGTGGGTTAGCTTTTGCAGCCCGGAGGTCGCCGGGAAGAAGAAGCAGTTTTCCGGGCAGTTTCACGACACGGAGGGTGTTCAGATGGGGGAGGAGAATAAAGTAGGGAGTGATAATCCGAGGATTTTTAGTTATTCCGAGCTCTTTGTCGGGTCTAATGGTTTTAGCGAGAGTGAAATCTTGGGCAGCGGGGGATTCGGGAAGGTATACCGCGCGGTTTTGCCTAGTGATGGCACGGTGGTGGCGGTGAAGTGCCTGGCGGAGAGAGGGGAGCGGTTTGAGAAGACTTTCGCGGCGGAGCTGGTGGCCGTGGCTCATCTCCGTCACCGGAATCTTGTCCGGCTCCGGGGGTGGTGCGTTCACGACAATCAGCTCTTCCTAGTATATGACTACATGCCTAATCGCAGCCTGGACAGAGTTCTGTTCAAAAGATCAGAGAATTTAGGGCCGCCGCCTCTTGACTGGGAGAGAAGAAACAAGATTGTTCATGGACTAGCTGCAGCACTGTTCTATCTCCATGAACAATTAGAGACTCAGATAATTCACAGAGATGTTAAAACCAGCAATGTAATGCTCGATTCGAGCTTCAATGCCCGGCTAGGCGATTTCGGCTTAGCCAGGTGGCTAGAACATGACCTCGTCTACCAGACCAGAACCCCGTCAATGAAGAATCACCAGTTCAGGCTAGCAGAAACCACGAAAATCGGGGGGACAATAGGCTACTTACCCCCCGAGAGCCTCCAGAAACGAGGCGTTGCCACCGCGAAGTCTGATGTTTTTAGCTTCGGGATTGTGGTTCTTGAGGTGGCCTCGGGGAGGCGGGCCGTGGACCTGACGTGCCCGGATGATCAGACCATTCTGCTGGATTGGATGAGGAGGCTTTCTGATGAAGGAATGGTTCTCCAGGGGGGAGATAGCAGGCTTAAAGATGGCTCTTATAAGCTTGCAGAAATGGAGAGATTGATCCACATTGGTCTTCTCTGCACTCTCCATGAGCCTCTCTCCAGGCCTAACATGAAATGGGTTGTGGAGGCGCTTTATGGGGAAATCTATGGCGAATTGCCCGAGCTTCCCTCGTTTAAATCCCACCCGCTTTACATTTCCCTCTCATCATCCTCCAACACTGCCACCATGTCCACAAGAACCACTCTCAGCACCTCAAGCAACACGACAGTTATTGCGCCTTTCAACTCAGACAACAACTTTGTCACGGCTTCTGGTGAAACCGTGTTCTTGTCTGCTGAGTCGAGTAGTAATTCCAGCGTTTCGAGCAGTTTGTCTGGGAACCATTGCAGTACTGCTGGGCTGCAGCCTGGCGGTTTCCCAGTCGTGGATACCCCGAGAGAGTTCACCTTCAAGGAGATCATTGAAGCAACGACGAATTTCTCCGATTCGAGGAGAGTTGCAGAGGTTGATTTCGGGACAGCTTATCTGGGCTTCCTTGATAGCCATCAGCAAATCCTGGTTAAGAGGCTGGGGATGAAGACTTGCCCTGCTTTAAGGGTGAGGTTCTGTAATGAGCTCCAGAATTTAGGAAAGCTAAGACATAGAAACCTAGTACAGCTCCGAGGATGGTGTACCGAGCAAGGGGAAATGCTCGTCGTGTATGACTATTCTGCAAACCATCTTCTAAGTCACCTCCTTTTCCATCACAGAACTTCGGAGACCCTGAAATGGCACCACAGGTACAACATAATCAAGTCACTGGCTTCCGCGATTCGCTATCTCCACGAGGAATGGGACGAGCAGGTCATCCACAGGTGCATCACGTCCTCCGCTGTCATTCTCGACCCCGACATGAACCCGAGGCTCGGTTCCTTCGCCCTGGCTGAATTCTTAGCCAGGAACGAGCACGGTCATCACGTCGTCGTGGATAAGAACAAGTCGGTGAGAGGGATTTTTGGCTACATGTCCCCCGAGTATATGGAATCCGGGGAAGCAACCACAATGGCTGATGTTTACAGCTTCGGGGTAGTGCTGCTGGAGGTCGTCAGTGGACAGATGGCAGTCGATTTTCGCAGGCCCGAAGTCCTCCTGGTTCACAGACTACACGAATTCGAACTGAGGAAACGACCATACGAGGAGCTAGCAGACCCGAGGCTGGATGGCAAGATTAACAAACGAGAGGTGCTCCGAATGGTCAGATTAGGAATGGCGTGCACTCGGTCTGATCCAGCACAGCGCCCGAGCATGAGACAGATAGTGAGCATACTAGACGGGCGGGATCAATGGTTTTTGGAGAATGGACTAAGGAAGGAGAAAAGGGAAGATTGGAGGAAGAGAAATGCTTCTTCTCTGTCACATGTTAGAAGAATTCAAGCTCTTGGCATACATTGATCCTAAAGTCCTAAACTAAAAATCACATCTTTCTTTTGTTTGATTAAATTAATGATGTTTTTAGATGTGTTCCCCTTGTAAAGAATGACAGGCAAAACACCTTTTATATATATACATATCTGCTTTTAAATTATTTCCAAGAAGTTTCAGTTTGCACCATATATATAAATGAATTCAATTAAACAATGCCACAACCACATACTTAAACTTATCTGTTCTTCAGGCTTCAGATTGTCTTGTTTCTTCGACCATCTAGATTTCTGCCATGTGGTCCTCGTCGTCACCATCAATGCCAACCCAATCAAGAAACGCGAACAGGAATTTTCTGAAGCTGATTTTGCCACTCCTGTCCCAGTCCATTTCTTCTGCAAATTTGTTCGACACGAGATTATCAGTAGAGGTTGCAGGAAAGACTAAAGTAGAGCAGTGAAAACCAAGAAAGTATGGATAGGCAGTACTAAATCTTGTCCGGGTAACATGAGATGGCGATTTCTCCAAAGGGAAAGCGTCGTTGAAGGCCTTGACCACGTCCTTCTTGTGCAGCTTTCCATCGCCATTTTTGTCGAGAAACAAGAACGCTTCCACTATTGTGTTGAAGGTGGATTCGACGACTGGAGAGCCAATCTTTGATGTCTGGGGAGAGAGTTAACTAACCACAGTGAATATGGATCCATGTAAGGGGAATAGGTTCAAGAGGGAATGAAAGAACTCGAGACATACAGAACCCGAGGAAGGTGCATCCATTAGAAGATAAATCAGACATAGAAGCACTATGAACTCGTTGAATTTAATCTTTTCGTTATCATCCACATCACAAGAACGAAAAAGTTCATCGATTTCCTCTTCTCCAACATGAAACTGCAGCTTCTGCAAACATTTCTTCAGTTCCTCGCGATCAATAGCTCCATTCGAGTCTTCATCTGAAGTAGCAATGGGAAAATGAATCAGTTCATCAAAACAATAAAAAAAAATGAAGTTAAGCAGGAAACTGCCCCTTGGCCCTCACCAAACTGCTCGAACACGGTTCTAATCTCCTTCAACCCCTCTCTGAAGTGAGGAAATTTTAAGATTAGAGCATTGATTGACCTGATACTGAGAGTTGCGGGTGCGTTTCTCTTAACCTCCAGCACTTTCGTTTCGAGCTTAGAATCTAATCTGCTGTACTTGTTTGGTGAACCATGGCAGCACAGTAAGCTCCCAACTTTGTCAGAGACCAATTTGAGACTCAGGCATGGCCGAGATAAACCTTAATGTAGAAGGTTGAGTCAATTCCAGACTCAATCAAATCTGTATTACTACTCAAAGCATTAATGTCCTAAACTGCAAAATGTATTACAGCTTCCTCTTCACAGATGCAATTTTCTCTACAGAAAGTGCTATATTATTGCTGCTATAACCAACATTGTAGTTCAACTCCCAGCAAGAGCAGCCTACTAGTCTTGGCTTGCGCCAGACTATGGGCAATCTAGGCTGATTTACCTCTTGTGGTCCTTTGCCAGCTAGGATCACAAGGCGCAGTTTACGCAATGCACACGATAGTGGTTGTGGTAACCATAAGGTTACAAGTTCAACTCCCAGCAGGAGCAGTCTATTGGCCTTGGCTTGCGCCAGCCGCCAGTCAGCTATGGGCAATCTAGGCTGATTTACGTCTTGTGGTCCTTTAACAGCTAGGGTCACAAGGCGCGGTTTACTCAGTGCACACGATAGTGGCTGTGGGTTTCTCTCGTCACTCAAAACTGAGCAATAAAATGATGACATTAATCTCTATCAGCATAAACCTTGTAAAATCAAACATGCACAGACACATTAGGTTTTTTTGATAAACAATTTCAAGCATGTATGGAGGGAAGCCCTTCAATCTTGATGCAAACCAGAAACCCATATGCTACTCTTCAAGAAATATCTAGAATGCACAATCCAAAATCACATGGAAATGCATTAAACAAGACAAAAAAAAATCTAGGACAGGGCATTGAAAAAGACCCAGACTTGAGACATACCCACTGAGCCTTTCATGGTTTTGAGCCTGGGATTAACTTAGCAATGGTAAATGCTGCTACCCATTTGTTCCTCTTTCATTAACATTTGCGTATATAAAGAAACAACTTGGGAGGGATGAGGAAGAATCTGGGATTATAGGGCAAAGAAGGTGGAGTGGAGAGGAGGGAAGAGGCAAAAGGGGGATCAATGTTTTGGAAAAGTAAAGTAGAAATGCCATGATTCTGTGAAAGGAAAATGGAATTCTCTTTTCTTGAATTCCCTGTCACTAGTGGCAAACAAAAATGCCATCATGGCGTTGACTACAAGTCTCCCAAACCATCCCCTTCTTATGCTACAATCATGAGAACTGTAGACTTAAACATCATCCCCCACTTTGTTCTTTAATGGTTGGCCCCTACCCAACTTTTGTTTGTAGTCTTTTGCCGCTTAGGGTTACAAGACAGATTTCACCCAGAGCATACCTTCGGAAGTGATACTTTGATGGACTCTATTAGTCTTTCTGTTTTGAAATAGTTAGCTATGAACAACCTATTGGTATTCTTGATTTGAACTGGTCAGCTATGGACAATATAGACTAATTTACCTTCTTATAGTCCTTTATCAGCTAAGATTACAAGGTGGGTTTCACCCAGAGCACACATTCGCATAGCAGCAACAATCTTCCCCATAAATCAAAGAAAGATTATGTTTCAACTCAATACTGCATCTTTTGTTCATGAAAAGGTGTTAATATATAGTATGCTTTAAGATACAAACAATGAAAGAGACAGCTCAAAGGATTATGATATAAGTCATCAAGTTGGCACAAGAAACATGGATCTTCAAATTTCAACAAGCAAAAAGATGAGCAGAAAAGAAGCTTTTTTAAAGATCAAGCAAGCTGCCCAGGTGCATTGTTTCCATTGAGAGGCGTTTGAATATCAAACGTAGAGAATATACATAAGATTGTGCAGTTTTGCAACATGTCAGATTGATGAGAAACATTAAAATGATTACATTGTTCACGAGAACCAGAGACAACCTAGTTTTTTACCCGGCATTAGCCAGTGTCCATTCCACCTGCTGCTTCATGTTGCTGTCCAGAGGCAAAGACTCCTCGTTAGTAAACCCCCGAGGTCTCTTCTTCAGTGCAGCTAGCGAACTCATGCTCATTGTGGAAGCGGGAGTTCCATTCGATGTCAAGCAATCTACAGCAATGTCGGGTAACGAAGGGAGGGGAAAGATTGTGTGAGGATCGTTAGCTACCTTTATTGACAGCTCGGAGAGCTCTTCCCGGGCAGCTTCTAATCCATCAGCTGCAACAGCCTGGTGGTTAAGCGTTTTGCAAGCTTTCTCGAGAATCGATTGCAAATATTTGCTTTGAGCTTCTATACGAAGCTGGAGACGACGTTGAACCTAGTTAAGAAAACCATGCCATTAGAATCATAACTCACCAAACATTTCATACGAGTTAGCCCTGTTTGGTAACATAGTTAGTCTACCAGCCAATTTTGGCTTATTTGATCACTATTAGCTGTTTGACTTGGTTAAACAGCCAATATAAGTGTTAGCTTTTCGTAACAGCTTATTGCTGTAAAACACTAAAATTCAAAAAGCTACTCAAAACAGCTTTCCGATTAGCTTTTTGAGAAAGTCATTTTGCATGTAATCAGCTATCTACTAACCGCTAATTTACCAAACATCTTTCTACAATCAGCTAATGCTATCAACTAGTTAAACGCACTAACTCAATCAGCTAACAGCTATTTACCAAACACCCCCCCATTTTCAAGCATAATTACATATCATTTGTGAGACACATGATCCAATCAAGAAAATTCTAGTAAGTCAACACGAGCACCGAGGAATGTGTAGTCATAGCAAGAAAGAGGGGGCGAAGGCAAACCTCTAGCTGCTTGTGCAATTTTCGTTGGACTTCCATCTGAGCTCGTAAAGCCTCGGTAACCTGGTAGCCACTGTTCAGAATATTTGACGGGATTAAATCTAGAGAGCTAACTCCGAGATTTATGGCAGAGAATTGGTAGGGGAAATTAAAGAATTTACTCGTTTAGTTCCTGGGCAATCATTCTAGACGAGCCCGATGTAGGGGAACCAATGTCCTGACTCTCCGCTACACATGATGCTGCAATCACCGAAACAATAAGTAACATGACAACGAGAATATCCGTGCCTAGTCAGAAAACAACATGCCAACTAAGAATTATATCTTCTCGGGCAATTGCAGAAAAAATCAAAATAAAGATCAATATACCATCTTTAGAGTTGTCAGTTGCCTCCTTGGATGATTGCTTCCCGAGACGGTATTTCTGGAAAGAAAAGAAAGATGGTTAGGTTTCAGCGGGTACGCTGTGAACATTTATGGAACGAGACACTTTAAATGAGAGAAACCAAAGCAAAACCTGAAGGTGAGACTTTAAATGATATAAGGTCAGGCCTTTCACCCCCATTGTCCTCATAATTGATTTTGGTGTCGCTTCTGCAAAGTGAAGTGACAAAGGACATGGAAATTAGCACGTAAAAATTTACAAAGAAAATGGTAAAAATTCCTGATTTTTTCCTTCAAACCTGGAGCTCTTGATACCATGTCAAATGGAGAACTCCATATGTTTTTCATATATTTCAGACACAAGAATACACATATTTATACAAGAAGATATATACTAACTAAGGTAAGGATCGGAATTAAATCCCTAAGAATATGCACAGTAATCCCACAAGTAAAAACAGACAGAGATAATAATCATTGCTTATCCTATAGGTCTATCCCACAAGTCTATAGCCTTTTCATGAATCCTATCTCGTTACAGCCTGAAGCCATTGTCGCACTTATATCAGAAAGTTATTATCCCATTATCAAATACCGGCATGTTCTCCCAAATTCAGCTAAGTTAAGTGACACAATACCTCGAACACCCAAACACGCATCTTAGATGAATTATACCCAAAACTATACATATTAGATAGAGAGTCTTTCAAACTATTACGACAATTTTATTATGCTAAACAAAAGAAAACTGCAAAAAGTATCCAAATATTAAAACTTTCACTTAGAGCCTTCATATAACAGAACTATACATGATCTTAAGACCCAAGGTCATCATGTCCCTTCACGACAATCATTTTTAATGAAGATACGAAGTAGATGACTCTACCAAAATGCTTTTACAATTAAAATAAATCATCATTTATTAGCAATAAATGCAGACATATCTCTATCATCAACAGTTATTTTAGAAAGAGTTCTTCGTTTTGGGCTCCTTGTGGGCAGCAGGCATTGGTTTTCCACCTAACGGGCGGCTGAGTCACCGTGACTTACCCCTCCACTACCTGCTGGGCCGGGGGGTGTGGGACCTAACAGGCGGCTGAGTCACCGTGACTTACCCCTCCACTACCTGTCGGGCCGGGGTGTGGGACCTTGGACCAAGAGAATTTCGCCTTTTGTGGGCAAGTTCTTCATTTTCCTACCCATCTCACACCCTCAAAAACTTAATTAATTGACTGGCTAAACATCACTATCAAGCATTAATTTAACCCTCAAATAACAACTATACATCACATTTGCATTTGTTAACCTTTGAGATGGAAAAAGACCCTTCATTTGTACTAAGACTCAAGGTTGTCTATAACTCTTTACCTAATCATATGAAGCAACATCCTTAAACATAAGAAAATAAAATAAACATTCTGGGCAACACAAATCTTTAATTTTTTCTCCTTTTTTTTGGCAAACGTAAAAGAACTTCCTAGACCAATAATTAGAGCCAGAAAGCAAAATTTCAGGAGCAAAGATCCCAGCTTTGAAGAAAAATTCAACAGAAAACACAAGAAAACGAAATCTATAGACTGTCCTGTACAGAACCCTGTAATGCAGAAATTAAAGAAGCAGAGAAAAATGATGCGAAAGAATATATATATATTGAGGAAAAGATGGAAAGGAGGAAATAAGGCACTAACTGTCGGGGCCGCCGAGCTGGGTGACGGCGTCGACGAAGCGCTCGTGGAGCTCGGAGGTCCAGCGGAGGCGAGGCTTGGGATCGGCGGTGAGAACAAGACAAGCATCTCCGGGAAGGTTGGTTCCGTCCAAGGACAGAGCTCCCTGGTGGTTGTGGTGGTTATAGTCGCCGCCGTCTAGCCCCAGACCCCGGAGAGGCACCGCCGAGTACATTTTTTCACGGCAGCCCGCAGTAGCAGACGACAACCCCAGCCGGTTTAAGGTTGTGTTTTTTGTGCTATATGAGGAGGAGCAGAGGAGAGGGAGAAGACAAGACAGCGATGTGTTGTTTTGTAGTGTGGGAGTGTTGTCTTCTCTCTCTCATCTTTCTTTCATTTTATATTATCCAAAACTCACTCTCTATTAATTCACAATCAAACTTTATCAATATCTATTTTTATACGGAGTATTATATATACTTAACCATAGTTAAACTTAAAATCTTACCAGATATTTTTTATTGGTCGATTTTCGATCCTCCAAACAGTCAGCTTAATCCAAATCGAAAAAAATATACAACTCCGAAGAGACACTTTGACACATCAAGTAACCAAGTAGATTTTGACCACGAAGAAACGACACTAATTGCGTACGCCTGAATAAAAAGTTTCGAGCGGCGAGTTTGATGGACACAACTTAAAGTGATGTGTCGTGGAAAGAGATATAGGTGTCGGATGCGGTGGAGAAGAAACCGTCTTAGAAATAGTCCACTTAGTACTGACAGAACTGTCTTGCATAGCTATCAGATTCCAACGTCCTAATGCTGATACCAGATGAACACTGTCTTTCTTATTCTACTACAATAGAATACACAAGATAGATAAATATATACGAGAGACAACTCATAATAGAATTACACAACACATATAACTATAGAGCCCTAACATAGCCCTCGAGTGATTAACCCGCACCACAAAAAAAAAAAAAAAAAAAAAAAAAAAAAAAAACAATCAAAAAAATAAAGTTTTTAAACACGGATTATTATTTATGTCTGAATAAACAAGAATCTTACTACAGCAGCGTCATGTAATTATCCATAATCTTTTTAGTCTTTTCTTTGCTATTTGTGTTAGAAAACATTGGAAAGCATAAAAGCGATATCATTTCTTACCACAAGTCATTATCTCTCAAAGTGATTGCTCAATACGAAAAGATCAATAAAATAATTTATTTAAAAAAAAAAAAACCGAACTTAACATTTTAACATCTATTATTATTTGTGTCTAAAACACAACTTATGTAACACATCTAAGAAAAAATTGTAATTTATGTCCCCGCATAATATATTATATATCAATTATTAATG